ATTCGTTGCTGGAGGAGGTGTTTCAACTGAGGTGTCACCCATGGCTGAGGCTTCGGTTTACTGAAAGCTGGTGAGACCACGGGGCAGATCGGTGAATGTTTGTCTAAAACTCGAGTAATACAGTGTGAAAGCTGGGTGACTTGTGCATTGACATCAGCTGACTTGGGGAGAGGCTCCAGAGTGCTGTCGATATCATCACAGAGTGTAGCGGGGTCAATTGCATGTGGGAGCGGTTTGCGCACGAATTTGAGGCGGGAGTTAGCTTGCTGCGTGGCTTTGTAGGAGAAGTTAGTCAGAACGAGATCATGGTCGCTCACGCCGTCTACAGATACTACAGTTGTCTTAACATGTGGTGCGGCAGCATAAACGAGTATTAGATCCAGACATGTCTTGGCAAGTCGCGTTGGTGAAGTCACGACATTGCGGAGGTGAAACTCCTCACACAGATTGGACAGGTGCTTGTAATGGTGGTTATTTGATGATTGCTGTAGCACATCAGTGTTAAAGTCCCCTAGTACAATAATCCTGCTAAATTTACGGCTGATGACGTCAAGATGCTGACTGCACAGGTTCCAGAAGTCGACAGTTGCACTCGGTGGACGATATATACTGCACACAGCCAGCTCAATAGCCTTAGGTTTGGTACACAGGCGAAGACGAACAGAGACACACTCCACTCCTAGCTCAGTGATGGGAATTCTGATAGAGTGAATATCAGAATGGACATAAATGCATACCCCTCCACCATGTAGATCTCTATCCTTGCGATATAGATCGTAGCCTGGTATATGAACACTAGAATCGGGTATGCTGCTGTTTAGGTGGGTTTCATTCACTGATAGCACGTGGATCTTATGGTGGTGCAGGAGATGGTGAATGTGATGGACCTTGTTTCTGAGACTACATATATTAATGTGAGATATGGTGAGTTGGCTTACTGGAATGATGACTTCTTGCTCTTCGGGTAGCAGCACAGGTACGCATATTGGTTTAGGTGTTCTGGTTTGTTTCACGAAAGTCCCACGGGCGAATGTGTATTGGTGCTGGCCAGAACCCATCCTTCTCGATCAGTGCACATTGGTCCTCTCGGATCGTAAGCCGTGCAGCCTTTGTACCAATATGCTTACGAGAGGGAAAGGTGCGGCATGCTGTTGGTGTGATACCATTGTGCTTGCAGTGGGCTATTATGGTATCCGCGGTGCAGCTGCTGTCAATGTTACCAACAAAGTATACTTTTCGGAGTGAGCCAAGTGATCCTTTCAAATTGCGGTTAGTAACCTCAGTCCATTCCTCATCGTTTGGCTGCTGCTGCTGCTGCTGCTGTTGTTGTTGTTGTTGTTGTTGTTGTTGCTGCTTCTGGCGCTGTTGTTGTTGTTGTTGTTGTTGTTGTTGTTGTTGTTGTTGTCGCTGTTGGGGTCGTTGGTGCTGGTTAGTTTGCTGGCGGTGCTCCTGTGGGAGAGGTGGCTGCGCAGTGACCGATGGCTTGGAGGAGGGCCGAAGTGCTCCGTTGTCACTGGAGCTATTGAGCACTGATGCCCATACGCGCTGCTGGGTCGTGGATCTGCAAGTGCTACAACTTGTAGTCGTATCCATGTGGTTGGCTTGCTGCATTTGCAGCCCATGTGCACCCGGCTTGGATACGGTATCGCCCGCCTTTTTGAATGGGGTCGGTGCAGTGTGTTGTACATGCTCTACTGACTTGAGGCGCCCTTGGTTGGCTTGCTGCATTTGCAGCCCACGTGCACCCGGCTTGGATACGGTATCGCCAGCCTTTTTGAGTGGGGTCGGTTCAGTGTACATGTGTTGCATATTATGCTCGACTGACTTGAGGCGCGCTTCCTGTTCCTTACACTTGTCCTCCAGCGCAGATATACGGGAATCTGATTGCACCGTACTAATAGGCGTATGCGTGTGTGCAAGGTCAGCTTGCTCTTTTCTAATCATGGAGAGTTCCCCTTGCATGTTGACGATTGCCGAGGAGATCCCTGAAAAAACTTCCTGAAGGGCGGCCAATTCAGCCTTGACTGTCCCAACTATTTCGGTCTTGATGCTTTCGATCAGGCCATTGACATCTAATATGGAGTCTTCGGGAGGCGAGATAACCTCTAAGTCACTTACCCGCGACTTGCTGCCTGCATCTCGACCGCATTCCGTAGGGTGTGTGGTTCTGCCCGCAGAACACACGTTCGCCTCTCCAGTAGAGTCACCAGCAGACCAAGAGTCTGTGTCGTCCTCCTCAACGTAGAGATCAAAGCATGGCTTCCCAAAGGCCTGCTTTGGGGTTACCGATCCTTGCTTGTAGCTATCGTTTGGATATGAATAGTCGATCAACGGCATGTTCACAGCTCAAAAAAAATGCAACCGCACTCTACGATGTACAAAACTTAATCCTCTTCATCAACATCAACAGCCATTGGAACGTCAAAGGGAGCATCATCGCAGCAGGCAGTGCCAGCAACGGACGTGCCTTTGGTACGGACATCTACATCGGCCTCGTCTGGATTGGCAGTAGCGGCAAGGAATGTCAGGTCGGTTTCATTGTCACGTAATTCCAAAGTATGTACTGGTTTTAGTAGCGTTGTTAGGGTGTATGAATCTTCTATCGCCAACCATCTTGTTCAGAATAGTGATTGTCGTTCTAGTTATGCTGATGATTGCTTTTCTGTTTGGTCTCGTTCACGTAGTCAAAGGTATTTGCGTGTATTGGAGTCTATTTACATTTTTACCACCAGGCCGATTTTGTGTAGGCAGAAAAAGAATTTGTTTACGTTGAAATTGTTTGTGAATTTAGATCAGTAGTTCTCGTTTGTGGTTGCTTGGTAACTTTCTAGTGGTGAATTTATCGCATTTGTTGTCACCTGATATCGTTGAATGGTGTAATGTTTTCAGCTCTCATTTTATCGCGCTAGTTAGGGTCTAAATTATTACTTGCATTGTGCGTATATATATTGAGTTAAGAGCTTTTTTTGATTTGCCAGTAATCCTCTGATGAGATGGCGACGAAAACGTTTAGGAACAAGCTTATTTATTATACATGAAAACAAGTTTTGCTAATGGTGTTTGTACTGAGTGCGCAGCTTACTCTATTTATTGCGTTGAATAATAATAATAATAATAATAATAAGAAGAAGAAAAAACTTCGTACCACAAATACAAAAGAAAGAAAAAACTTCCTTTCAGGGAGTAGTAAAATACCTACTACTCACTGCATTCGACCTCGCGGAATACCACGGCATGCCATTTCCACCCCCCAGAGGCCCTCGGCACCGGGATGTCCACGGCGCGGTACGGCAGGAGCCACGGAATGAACTCGCGCCAAAACTGCCCCTCACGTGAGCAAATCACCATGGGTACTCACGGCACGGCACTCTCGGTACCGTAGTGGGAATCGGCCCTAATCACCATGGCATGCGGTACACAAACCCTCTCATCCGGGTCACTAATCACCATGCTCTACACACACCCTCAACCGGGTCACTACAAAGTACAAACACCATCTGTCCCCGGGGAAAATTGCGGAAAAAATCGCAAAAAAACGCCGGGAAAACGCGGCATAATATGGCATAATTTGCGGTGAATATGCGGTAAATATGCGGTGAATAATATTGATGTGCGGCAATTAGGCCTTGAGAGATTATGCTAATATTTTCGTGAAATTATGCTTTTCGCATTGCTGAAAATATTGCAGATTTATGCTATTTTTATGCTAAAAGTTATCATATTATGCCGCATTATGCTCACATACATGTACATGTATGCTGCTAATGTATAATGACCATTTGTAATGTAGAATGGTTCTGTACAAAATAACAGGGCGTTGTACTGTAGTAGCAAAAGTTCAACGGGCTCCACGCACCGTCCGACTTAGCTACGACCATCACCAAGAGTACATGAAAACCATGTACTCTTGCCATCACTGATTGTAGTGGACTGGACATGTTATCAAGGGAGTCGTAAACCTACGACTTTCTGGTGCATCTACATGTACTTGTACTTATACTTGTAGAACATGTACAACTGTATGGAATTTGATGCGAACAGGCGGATTATTCCAATTTTATGCGATTCGTATGCAATTTGCCTCGAATTATTCGATTATTCGATTTTGGTAGGAATTATGCGAAAAATTATGCTAGCATAATCTGTCAAGGCCTAGCGGCAATTTTCAGTGAGTATGTAGTGAAATCAATCAGTTACAAGTCTCTGGTCTAAGCACTCGTCATATTTGAGTAAAAAGCCGCCACGATGAGACGTTGCTGACCGAACACTGCACTGTGTGTACGTGTAGTGCAACAAAAAGTAAAAAAACGGGGGAAAATCGCGGAAAACGCGGTCTTTTTAAAATCGCAAAAAAACGCGGCCGCGGAATCGCAATTTTCCCCGGGGACAGCACCATGCTGTACACACACCCTCTCAACCAGGTCACTAATCACCATGCTGTACACACACCCTCAACCGGGTCACTAATCACTATCCTGTACACACACACCCTCTCAACCGGGTCACTAATCACCATGCTGTACACACACCCTCTCAACCGGGTCACTAATCACCATGCTGTACACACACCCTCTCAACCGGGTCACTAATCACCATGCTGTACACACACCCTCAACCGGGTCACTAATCACTATCCTGTACACACACACCCTCTCAACCGGGTCACTAATCACCATGCTGTACACACACCCTCTCAACCGGGTCACTAATCACCATGCTGTACACACACCCTCTCAACCGGGTCACTAATCACCATGCTGTACACACACCCAATCAACCAGGTCACTAATCACCATGCTGTACACACACCCTCTCAACCGGGTCACTAATCACCATGCTATACACACACCCTCTCAACCGGGTCACTAATCACCATGCTGTACACACACCCTCTCAACTGGGTCACTAATCACCATGCTGTACACACACCCTCTCAACCAGGTCACTGTGTGTCGTGCGCAAAAGAACGGTACATGCAGGCCACTGTAACAATCTCAATGTCCACGTGAAAACGAGAGAGTCATACCCCCTCCTTTCCCAAGATGAATGAATCTAGGGCGAGATTTGCAGTTTAAAAGATACCATGTGCCAGTGCTTTAGAAAAGTATAAAAATCATTTTATATAAATGGGTGCCTTGGAAATTGCGGTGCCTTGAAAAATGAAATAAAAGGTGCTTTGAAAATAGAAGTACGAAGGCAAAGAAACAGTAAAAATGAAAAGCAAGTGCAGGAATAAAAGACGAGCAGAATGTGATTACGCATACCGGTTCAACCGGCAACAGCAATTATTTTGTGAAAATGGCTGCTGTGAAAATTGCACTTCCTTAGAAGAATTAAAGAAGTTGCCATTTGAAAAAGCATTGCAAAAAAGTGAAAAAGGGCAGCCAAAGTGAAAAAGGATAGGCAGAAATGAGGCCGCGCAGAAGCTGATAATTCTATGAGTATACCGGTTCAACCGGAAAAGAATTTTTACAACATGTTCCGCTATTCGACATGATGACGTCAGACTAGTGCACTGCTTTTCCAGCAGTGTCTAAGCTCAAATAGTCAAATACGGACCTAAAGCAAATACTGACCTAAAGCAAATACGGACCTAAAGCGAGGTTCTAAGTCACAGAGATAGAATGTAGAGATATATGTATATGTTTTTGAGAATAAAAAGAAATTGAATGACAATTCAACACAACTCAGACAAGCTATATAGACTCTACACATGGGTCAGGTACTGTGCATGGAGCGAAGGGCACGCGCGGGGAAATCCAGCATTCTGGTTCCTGCTGCTAAGAAGTGAAAAAAATACTTTGTGATCATGTACCAATAAAAGGAGCTAGGTAGAAGCTAAGGGAGAGCAGTCTCTAGCGAGTCATGTAGCAATTGAAAGGCCGAGAAGAAGAAGAAGAAGAAGAAGAAAAAGAAGAAGAAGAAAGGCATACTCAAAGGATGTAGTGCTTACGATAGCGAATGCAGCAGGCAAATGAAGAATATCGCGACTTAATGAGTGAGTGGGCGCGGGAGACTGGGTGAGAGCGAAAGCAAGCGAGAGTGAGAGAAAGTGAAGGAGAGAGCTCAGTCTAGAGTCTGAGGTGAAGCAGAAAAACGGACAGAAAGACGTACCGGCAGACAGACAGAAGGACTCACAGGAAGAGAGAGAGAGACAGACAGAACAAATTCTCGCCGCGATCCAGTGTTGATCAATCATGGCCACCATCACCATCATCCTGTGTCCATACACAAGAAAACAACAAGACACAGCAATAACTACTTGTACTACACGTACACAGGGCAGAACAACAGAGACGAAAAATCCTTCTCGTGACTCCGAGTTTCGTGCTTCAAAAAACACTCATCAGACGAATGATGAGTGTTTTTGAAACACGAAACTCGGAGTTACGAGAAGGATTTTTGGTCTTTGTTGTTCTGCCCTGTGTGGTAAGCTCTGCCCCTTTTTGAGGTATTGAGCAGTGTTTGCAGCAAAGACTACAGACACTTTGTGTATTGCATGTACAGTAAAACCTGGTGTAAGCGACCTCTGGTTTTAGCCACCACCTGCTCTTAACGACCGTTTTTCCATGCACCGACAGATCTACACTGAACCTGTTGGACCTGGTTCTAAAGACCACCTGGCTTTAACGACTGCTTTTGCTTGCACCTAGGTACCATGGGGTTGTGCTTGCACCGTGGTACCGTGGGGTGGTGCTTGCACCGTGGGGTGGTGCTTGCACCGTGGGGTGGTTCTTGCACCGTGGTACCGTGGGGTGGTCTCTTAAACCAGGTTTCACTGTACAGTGATGGCAACTGAAATCCGACCCCTGACTTTCATGCTCGAGTGCGGCGCCGATTATATAGTGCGTTTCAAGAACATTCATCTCTAGACTTTTTCACATAATTCAAATTCGGTTGGAGCTTTTTCAGAAATTTCTTCGGGATATTGCTCAGGCAGCTCCCCCAATGTTACTCATATTTTAATTTGAAACCTACTAACTTTCTAGGCGATTGGATAACACACGGCCATTTTCGGAAAATTGTTATACACAAAATGATCACAGATTATGTGGTATAAATGCTGGCCCAAGGTTCTTTTTTGAAACTTTTGAACACACAGTAGCGGTCTCTTGGCATTGTAGAAACGTGTGCTGGTTTGTTTTTGGAATCAATGTGAGTGCACCGAGCTGAGGTCGGATTTCAGTCGCCACCATTGTAGTGAGTATTAGAGCGGGACAGCCATGACGTGAACAACACAACAATGTATACTGTACACTGCATGGCAAATTTCTTTTTTATAATTCACGGTTCGCCTCAGACTCGGCTAGAGGCCGAGTTTTCCGCATCCGTAGGAACACCACCACCCTTCAAGGGTCAAGACGCAGATGCAGCTCCCGAAGCGGGGGGGGGGGATGAGGAGATCAGCTCACCAGCAAAAAGGTCAAAGACCGAAAATCCCATTCACTGACAGCTGAGACGACAATTTCAGGCATGCCCCGTTACCAGAGATACCGCACAAAGCCAAAGGCTTGACCCTCTGTGCGATAATAAATTATACACATACGTATGAGCGATTTTCTAGGAGACAACAATGCTATCAGACAGGAGAACAGAATAGTCTCCAAGAAGCAACATGTCAAAATGCCGCTTACACGCCTAGCCCTATGAATCTTTTCGCCGGAAAAAAGACAGTTATTGCAATCCCCAATGCCGTCCAGCCTCTCGACCGTCAGCAGTGTACACTCATGTACTGTTTTACTACTGGCATTGCGTAATGTGTGAGACAGACTGGCGAGAAACAACAACTCGCAAACAAGTGGAAACAAAGCGGTTGCTTTGGATAGGGGAGAGCCGCACAGATACAAACATCTGTATAATATACACCAGGCTCTGCACGTTCCGAGCATGTAGAATGTACTAGAAAGACATAGGAGCACGTTTCCAATGGACCGTGACAGGGATTGCGTACCTTTTTCACACGTCACTCGGGTTACAGCAGGTTTTTCATGTCTTTCAACAGTTCTGGGTCAACAACTGTCAACTCCTGAATAACCTCGCACAGCGCAACATATCCATGGCGACGTGACGACTGAATCCACCCGATCAACTCGTTGTTATGCGTTTCGCTCGACATCTTCTCCAACCTCTTCACTTGGCTCTTGGTTAGTAATCCCTTCTTCTGCAACCTCTGCCTTAATTCGACACCGTCAAGATCTTTCAATGGCACGTCGATTTTCGCCACATAGTCGGGGTGGTTGAATGGGTCATCATAGACTGCATAAACATCAATGAAAAGAGCATGCAAGCAGCCATGCAGGATGCACTGAACACAGAATAATGACAACTTCACGATAAAGCTCACTGGAGTTAGACTTATTAATAACCGGCCGTCACACAGTGGTTGCAGTGCATATCGGCAAAGTGTTTCCCCAAGTGCGATACGAAGAATGAATCAAGCTTCGACGGCGCATTGCAAAGCGTTTCCCAAAGCGCGATATGAAGAATAAATTACCGTGTATTCTCTATTATAAGCACAGGTCTCCATTACTAACACAGTCTCTAATACTAGCACACTGTGAGCACCTTTCGAAACATTATAAGCACAGTCTCTATTATTAGCAAGGTCTTGGTGGAAATCAATGCGGCATGCATGATATCTAGCATGTATTTCTTCTTGCTCTGTATGGATGTATTGGTTGAAAAAATATAGGCGCAGTCTCCAATATAAGCGCGGTCTCCAATATAAGCACGGGATAGAGGGGTGTTGAAAAAATATAAGCACGACGCTTACAATAGAGAATATACGGTAGGTTCTGAATGGCTACACTGCCCTACCCCTATCGCACTAAACTGCCCTACCCCTATCGCACTACACTGCCCTACCCCTATCACACTACACTGCCCTACCCCTATCACACTACACTGCCCTACCCCTATCGCACTACACTGCCCTACCCCTATCACACTACACTGCCCTACCCCTATCGCACTACACTGCCCCACCCCTATCACACTACACTGCCCTGACCCTATCGCACTACACTGCCCTACCCCTATCGCACTACACTGCCCTACCCCTATCACACTACACTGCCCTACCCCTATCGCACTACACTGCCCCACCCCTATCACACTACACTGCCCTGACCCTATCGCACTACACTGCCCCACCCCTATCGCACTACACTGCCCTACCCCTATCGCACTACACTGCCCTACCCATATCGCACTACACTGCCCCACCCCTATCGCACTACACTGCCCTACCCATATCGCACTACACTGCCCCACCCCTATCACACTACACTGCCCTGACCCTATCGCACTACACTGCCCCACCCCTATCGCACTACACTGCCCTACCCCTATCGCACTACACTGCCCTACCCATATCGCACTACACTGCCCCACCCCTATCGCACTACACTGCCCTACCCATATCGCACTACACTGCCCCACCCCTATCGCACTACACTGCCCTACCCCTATCGCACTACACTGCCCTACCCATATCGCACTACACTGCCCCACCCCTATCACACTACACTGCCCTGACCCTATCGCACTACACTGCCCCACCCCTATCGCACTACACTGCCCTACCCCTATCGCACTACACTGCCCTACCCCTGTCGCACTACACTGACCTACCCCTATCGCACTACACTGCCCTACACATATCGCACTACACTGCCCTACCCCCATCGCACTACACTGCCCCACCCCTATCGCACTACACTGCCCTACCCCTATCGCCCTACACTGCCCTACACATATCGCATTACACTGCCCTACCCGTATCGCACTACACTCCTACCCGTATCGCACTACACTGCCCTACCCGTATCGCACTACACTGCCCTACCCCTATCGAACTACACTGCCCCACTCCTATCGCACTACACTGCCCTACCCCTATCGCACTACACTGCCCTACCCCTATCGCACTACACTGCCCTACCCCTATCGCACTACACTGCCCTACCCCTATCGCACTACACTGCCCTACCCCTATCGCACTACACTGCCCTACCCCTATCGCACTACACTGCCCTACCCCTATCGCACTACACTGCCCTACCCCTATCGCACTACACTGCCCTACCCCTATCGCACTACACTGCCCCACCCCTATCGCACTACACTGCCCCACTCCTATCGCACTACACTGCCCTACCCCTATCGCACTACACTGTCCTACCCCTATCGCACTACACTGCCCTCAGTGGCGGATCTAGGGGAGGGCGCGGTGGGCGCGCGCCCTCCCCTCAAACAGTTCAATTTTTTTTTAGTGCATGCACATGGGCAGTTGCGCAAGTGTTAAAGGGGAAGTTAAGGCAAAAATTAAAATTTCACCAGTTGTAGTCTTCGGGGTGCTGAGTCGAATGGTCTTGGTCCGAGGAAGCTGAGACGCTTCCTTCCTACTTGAATCCCAATCGAACTCGCGCACTTCCACCGAAACTGGGTGACTGCGCCCTACCAGATGGGGATTTGTATGCAAAATGTCACTAAAAGCGCCATTTCGTTCTTATAAAAGCACGGATGACCGCGATTGGCCCATATGTTGTACTCTTTTGGACGCTGAGTCGACTGGTTTTGGTCCGAAAAGGCTGCGAAGCAGCGTTCCTCCTTTATTCCCAATCGAACATGGTCGAACAAGTGGTCACGTGCTGCTGCGTACACCAGTCACCTGGTCACCGTGCCTGCAGGGTACAACTTACTAGCTTGTTTGACCTTTTTTGGGTGCAGTCCTGTCACTCGAGTTGAACTCGAGTTGAGCCTTGGTGTGAAAGTTGTCGCCTGCTGGCGTGGTGACCAGGTGATTTGGGCACCCAGGAGCACGTGACTGCTTGTTCAACCATGTTCGATTGGGAATAAAGGAGGAACGCTGCACCGCAGCCTTTTCGGACCAAAACCCATCGACTCAGCGTCCAAAAGAGTACAACATATGGGCCAATCGCGGTCATCCGTGCTTTTATAAGAACGAAATGGCGCTTTTAGTGACATTTTGCATACAAATCCCCATCTAGTAGGGCGCAGTCACCCAGTTTCGGTGGAAGTGCGCGAGTTCGATTGGGATTCAAGTAGGAAGGGAGCGTCTCAGCTTTCTCGGACCAAGACCATTCGACTCAGCACCCCGAAGACTACAACTGGTGAAATTTTAATTTTTGCCTTAACTTCCCCTTTAACATGTTTGCACATGCTGTGACAAGTAGTTTCTAGTGTCAGGTAAGAACGTTCTTCTGAACACGGAGTAGTTGTTCTCTTAGACTTTGGTTGACTTTTAGTTTTGAAATTAGTGTTCAGTTCACGAACTTGTATAGCTAAGTCGGTGAAGGGGATGGCGCACCGCCCGCCCAAGCGGCTAGGGAGCCAACAAACTCTCCACGGATTTTTCGCGAAGCGAACTTGCGCTTCGTCAGCTGCTCAGCCGAGCGATCCGTCTTTGGAAGGAGAATTCGGACCACCGCGAAGATCCTGAGATCGAGGTCTGCTCAGACTCTGATCTTCCCCAAATGGAATCCGAAGTAGATTCTGATGACGATGGTGGGACTGTCAGTAGTAGTCACTACTACTGACAGTCCCACCATCGGATGCGAGTCAGGAGCGTTTACCTGTTGAAACTATCGCAGATGACGACGTTGTGACTGTCACGAATGTGGCTGGTGGCACTGCTACGGAGCGAAGTTACTCGGATGCCGTTGATGCAGCTATTGGCGGTGCAACTCTCAGCGATGCAGAAAAGCGCAACATACTTGGGATCCGGAAGCCTGATAAGCAGACGGTGTTGCCATCTAGGGATTATCCCGACAGCCGCCGAAAGACCGGTACTTCCACTCGCTCGCTGCTACTGAAGAGGTTTGAGTGGCTTGCCTATTCCGGAAAGGCTGGCGAGGAAGGCTTTTTTTGTGCGCCGTGCGTCCCGTTTCCTACATTGCATCGACAAGGATCAACCCGAGGTGAATACCTCATCATCCATTCTTACTGCCGGACATGGCCATCCAAGTAATCGTATATTTTATTATTTTGCCATTGTTCTCGATCTCAGCATGTCTGGAGCTTTGAAGCACTATCTTTACACAATTCAATGTAGTACGGCTATGTTCTACTACAGCCAGAGTCCTCAATGAAGTGGTTGAAAAAGTGGGAGTCAGTGCATGTGCTAAAAATAGTAATTCTACATAACCGCTAAGCCTATGACGTAAAATAGCCGCTAAGTCGTAATGTGTACAAAATACAGGTACCGCATAGGTTTCCCTGTCATGAATATTACCCGCGCCCTCCCCTCAGGTGAACTCTGGATCCGCCGCTGGCCCTACACATATCGCACTACACTGCCCTACCCCTATCGCACTACACTGCCCTACCCCTATCGCACTACACTGCCCTACCCCCATCGCACTACACTGCCCTACCCCTATCGCACTACACTGCCCTACCCCTATCGCACTACACTGCCCTACCCCTATCGCACTACACTGCACTACACATATCGCACTACACTGCCCTACCCATATCGCACTACACTGCCCTACACATATCGCACTACACTGCCCTACCCCTATCGCACTACACTGCCCTACCCCTATCGCACTACACTGCCCTACCCCTATTGACTACACTGCCCTAACCCTATCGCACTACACTGCCCTACCCCTATCGCACTACACTGCCCTACCCCTATCGCACTACACTGCCCTACACATATCGCACTACACTGCCCTACCTCTATCGCACTACACTGCCCTACACATATCGCACCACACTGCCCTACCCCTATCGCCCTACACTGCTCTACCCCTATCGCACTACACTGCCCTACCCCTATCACACTACACTGCCCTACCCCTATCACACTACACTGCCCTACACATATCCCACTACACTGCCCAACCCCTATCGCACTACACTGCCCTACCCCTATCGCACTACACTGCCCTACCCCTATCGCACTACACTGCCCTACCCCTATCGCACTACACTGCCCCACCCCTATCGCACTACACTGCCCTACCGCTATCGCACTACACTGCCCTACCCCTATCGCACTACACTGCCCCACCCCTATCGCACTACACTGCCCTACCCCTATCGCACTACACTGCCCTACCCCTATCGCACTACACTGCCCTACCCCTATCGCACAACACTGCCCTACCCCTATCGCACAACACTGCCCTACCCCTATCGCACTACACTGCCCTACCCCTATCGCACTACACTGCCCTACCCATATCGCACTACACTGCCCTACCCCTGTCGCACTACACTGCCCTACCCCTATCGCACTACACTGCCCTACCCCTATCGCACTACACTGCCCTACCCCTATCGCACTACACTGCCCTACCCATATCGCACTACACTGCCCTACCCCTGTCGCACTACACTGCCCTACCCCTATCGCACTACACTGCCCTACACATATCGCACTACACTGCCCTACCCCCATCGCACTACACTGCCCTACCCCTATCGCACTACACTGCCCTACCCCTATCGCACTACACTGCCCTACCCCTATCGCACTACACTGCCCTACCCCTATCGCACTACACTGCCCTACCCCTATCGCACTACACTGCCCTACCCCTATCGCACCACACTGCCCTACCCCTATCGCACTACACTGCCCCACCCCTATCGCACTACACTGCCCTACCCCTATCGCACTACACTGCCCTACCCCTATCGCACTACACTGCCCTACCCATATCGCACTACACTGCTCTACCCCTATCGCACTACACTGCCCCACCCCTATCGCACTACACTGCCCTACCCCTATCGCACTACACTGCCCTACCCCTATCGCACTACACTGCCCTACCCCTAACGCACTACACTGCCCTACCCATATCGCACTACACTGCCCTACCCCTATCGCACTCCACTGCCCTACCCCTATCGCACTACACTGCCCTACCCCTATCGCACTACACTGCCCTACCCCTATCGCACTACACTGCCCTACACATATCGCACCACACTGCCCTACCCCTATCGCCCTACACTGCCCTACACATATCGCACCACACTGCCCTACCCCTATCGCACACTGCCCTACCCCTATCGCACTACACTGCCCTACCCCTATCGCACTACACTGCCGTACCCCTATCGCACTACACTGCCCCACCCCTATCCCACTACACTGCCCTACCCCTATCGCACTACACTGCCCTACCCCTATCGCACTACACTGCCCTACCCCTATCGCACTACACTGCCTACCCCTATCGCACTACACTGCCCTACCCCTATCGCACTACACTGCCCTACCCCTATCGCACTACACTGCCCTACCCCTATCGCACTACACTGCCCTACACATATCGCACTACACTGCCCTACCCCTATCGCACTACACTGCCCTACCCCTATCGCACTACACTGCCCTACTGCCATCGCACTACTCCTCCTAGTCCTACTGCTTGCTAGCTAGCTACTTCAAGCCTTCAGACCGGCCTGATGCCAGCTGGGCTGCCAAAACTACGGATAAAGAACTATGGAGCTGCAAAAGTCCCAAATGGCCTCTGCCTGTACAGCCTACTGCTCTTTACTTACCCACTGGATCAGCAGCGGATGCTCCTGCAGACGCTGATGCGGCCTCAGCAGTGCTGCGGAATTTGTCGACAGGTTCCAGCTTGGCCAATAACCTTCTCGCGCTGGCTGGTGGCTCGACTTTACGGATGCATTCAAGGAAGGTGTGGAAGGATTCGTCATCACCAGTGCTTAGTGCATTGAGCAATGCCTCATTCTGCGCTGCAGGGCCAATGTATGATGCAAATAGCTTACTCTGTGCACGCGTAATCAACTTCTTAGCCTCACACTGGCGACGCATATCATCTGGAGTTAGCGTGGAACCCAGCTTAGGCCGAAGTTCTGTGAAGACGTCACTCTCCCATGCTGTCATGTCAGAGAGCTGAGACTCGTCTGAAAATGTTGGCACAACACACACATAGAGAAACAGAATGGTTTCACATCTATCACATGACCGTGCCGGATAGGCATGTTGGGTTCAATTCCACTCAACTCCTGCATCTATGGGTCACAAGACGTCGGCCATGTTGGTTCCGCTGGTCACATGACATGATCATTTTCTACACAAATTCAGTCACATGACCAAGATGTGACCACAACTCCATACATTCCGTTCCTAAGTCTGAAGCTATTGACAAGCCGTGCAAAAGCAGTGTTGGGCTTAACACTGCTTCAGTAGAACCATCCGACACTAAGTTAGGAACAGGCCTGGCCTGGTCTTGACTTGATCCATCATGCAGCTCTACAGACTTGCGAGCGCCCGCTTCTGATGAACACAAGCCTGTGCATTGAACAGGCTTACAACTGACTCGCCGGGCCCCGCAGCGATACGACGGACCGCTTGCAGGGGCATCGGAACCGGTGCGGCAGGTGTGGCCAAAGTCTGGAATTTTATTTCGTCTTTTTCGTCCAAGGAGCTTTTGGACTAAATTAAAATAATGCCGGACTAATGTCGACTTGTCCAGCTTTTCAATACACTCTTATGATTCATGGACGAAATTTACAACCGGACGAACTCCCTTTCTTTGGAGTTGAATGAAATTATTGACCGACGGAATTTTCTGCCTGTGCAGTACGATGTATACGCGCGTCGCAAGAGAAGCACGCAAATCTGAAAATGCACTGGATGTGCACCCACAGATTTTCTCTTATAGCAACGATAGCGGACAAGATCAGAATGAGAGAGATCAAGACTTATAAACACCTCAACGCCCTGCCAGTTGCAGCAAGACTATAAATACTGTACATGTATAGGAAGAAAATTCCGTCGGTCAATAATTTCATTCAACTCCAAAGAAAGGGAGTTCGTCCGGTTGTAAATTTCGTCCATGGATTATAAGAGTGTATTGAAAAGCTGGACAAATCGACATTAGTCCGGCATTTAATTTAGTCCAAAAGCTCCTTGGACGAAAAAGACGAAATTAAATTCCAGACGAATATTTCTGCTTTTACAGTAAATTATAACCTCCCAAGAGTGTGCAACTCTGCATATGGGATGTCCGACGGCGAAAACTCACATCAGTTTCTCAGGTACGTTTTGTACTACGTACAGATGAAGGATAGCGTGCGCGCAATCCGAATATCTGCCATGATCATGCTCGGGATTCGCATACGCGCAGTGAGTTTCTGTCAGAGAATGTTTTTCATTACACCGCTGATCGCTAAGCACAGGCTGGAAACGTATAACTGCGACACTGCACCGCGTGATGTGAGTTTTCGCCGTCGGCGAACCCCATAGAAAGGATATCAGCAGTTGCACACTCTTGGGGGCTTATAATACTCTTGGTTTCAGCTGTGAGTGTCCCTCAAAAAATCTGCCACATCATGCAGGTGGCACAGGGAATGGTAAGCGAGACGTCATGTCGCCTGCATGCACAATGTCTCACCCCCTATTGCTTCAAAATTCTAACCAAAATTTGAGCCCATGAGCACTTGAAGAAAAGTCATACCATGGGAAAGCATAATTCAGTCTCTGCCCTATTTTCTCAAAACCCAGTGCAGGTGGAATCCCCCCCCCCCCCCCCCCCAAAGTTGCGCTATGGACCTTAGACACAGATTTCACGGATACTGAACTGACCAGCACAGCCTGCTCAACTGAACTGACCAGTACAGTGTACAGTGAACTTCGAATTACACTTTGCTAACTTCGAATTATCAGCACAAATCCAATGCATTTTCTATGTAAGTGGAATCTGTGGGACTTCCAATGAACCGGACGTGTCCAGTTCGAGGTTCAAATTATCAGAAATTTTATGTGGGAATCGTATTGACAGAAATCGGTCCTGGAAAACTTCTAATAATTAAGCACTATGTTCAAATTAAGCACTATGTTCGAATTATCAGGATTCCACCTATACATGTATTACACTGCGTAAGGACGCTGAGAGAGTGTACAAGAGACAACCACTATGGCGTACAGACTTCACCGTAATCTAAAGAAGGGCAGAGGCTTTCTGGAGCGTCATCTCTGAAATCAGGCATTCATTGTTGCAAGTGCCGAAACGTCGTGATATAACGGAACTGGTTCGGATGTCCAGCGCTACGGTAATGGGTGCGTCCACCCGAATTCCTTATTTTGTGGATAGTTAAGCGCACTGATAGAGCTTGGCTATCGTTACGGTGTTGCGACACACACTCACCATCCATATTTGGGATAAGAACAACAATGTCCCCGATCACTGTCAACAGTATGACCAATCACTGTGGCGTGGGTAGTTCCGGCTGACGCTGATGTCCCACCTGATACACATCAGTGGCCACCAGGACTCTAGCAGAGCACAATCTTGCTATCCTGATGCACACAACAGCACACACACACACACACACACACACACACACACACACACACACACACACACACAAACACACACACCACACACACACACACACACACACACACACACACACACATGTTCAGTCCAGTGCTAACGGGTTCGGGGTTGCTCGATGCAATGCACAAGTACGCAGCCCAGTGTCTGCAGAGTGCAGGTCCGGGGTTGCACAGCGCCCTGAACCAGCAGCGCACAGCACAATTACAGCATGAATGAATTATTAATTTTGTGTTTCTCAATCTTAAAGTCAGTACTCCAAGTAAGGGTAACATGAATGCAACTAACGTGTCCCCATCCCCACCCCACCGCATAAATCGACTTGAGGCCAACCATGAGGCTCTGCTTACCTGTAAAGGAGCATATTCAGTGAACTAATTGATGGCCCCAGGAACCCCCCTCCCCTGCCTTTATATGTCGCACCAATGTAGAACTAGAACTAGTAGAAGACCTTCCTACGCCCCTGTAAATAGTGTAATATCACTACAGCCGTTAGTAAGACCGTAATGCACTGGACTGTGCTCGATCAAAGTGGCCTACCTTTCGAGAAAATACGCCCGCTCCCGATTTACGATACGTCCTGGTTGGCTGGCTCCGAGTCCGAGTGCCTGGGACTCGGACGTACTACTACTAGACTACTGCTAGAATCCGAGATGATGTAGCGGGCAGCTAATATGGATCGGTTGATGGGACTGCTGGAGTACTGAAGAGGACCTATCGCTGCACTGCAAGGACCATTACCATGATAATAATAAAATTAGTCAAAATATATACCGTAAAATCCCGCCAGAGCGCCCCTACCTCCTCGACGCTGCGCTTCAGCTTTTCAGTCCAGGTGGGGAGGGGCGGATGGGCGAGTCCTACTTGCCGCATTCAGTGCTACATCATCAGTACCGGTACATGAAAAAGTACTCACCCTACGAAAACTGTTCGTGCATCCATCTAGCTCGTACACCGACCAAAGGCAAAGGTCAAGAGCCAGGAGTCGCGATCCTGTTCACTTGGCAAGAAAAAACGACATCGCGCGCGCTATGCTACGTAAGTAAGGTGCTCGGTATTTCACTACATGCAGTATACTCCATGCCTCCTAGATCCGGTATCCTGGCCGCGCCTATCTAGATACCGTATCTACCAACGGTGCAACGCGTGGTCGCGCGTGCTGTGCACGTGCACGGCAGACATTTTGTTGCAGTCCGTTTTCGGATGCGCATGCACGAGGAACAAGGAACTGCATGCTTCTTGCATGAGCTGTTTCGGATATTTCGTCTCCTGGCTTATTTCGCTTCGGCTCTGCTGAGACCTAGACCTCCTTTCACGGAATACTACTCAATGACAGGTGAGTTGACCAGTTCCCTTTGATTCATTTGCTTGTCTTTACTCTTTCACTTACGAAAAGTGTTCTGATTTTAGGTGGAATGCAATAAACAACGGAAAAGCTGACAGGATCTCTTTTCTAAATTTAGCTTTTCCGCTGTCGAGGCCTCCTTTTACGGAATACTCAATGACAGGTGATCTCTGAGTTGACCAGTTTCCTTCGACTCACTGCTTATGCTCACCCTTTCATTTACGGAAACGTGAGCTGATTTTATTCGGATTTAGATCCATTCGTATCTCTTTACCCTTTCCCACAGTGTCCCAAGAATGCGAGTTCACCTTCTGGACGGTAAGGCTTATGTTGCTGCTGAGGCTTAGATGTGTTGTCGAAATACTCATGTTCATTGTGCAAGCAAGGCACTGGTTTTGCTTCCGGCATTCCGTGTCCCGATCAAAGGGTAGAATCTGAATTTTACAGTTGCATAATATGTTGGCAGTTCCCAATCTGGAGGTAAAGGTTCAAGGACGCATTGACTGAGTATGCATAATTCGCATATCAGGGAAAATCCCCATTATGGACAGGTTCAGTGACTTGTTTGTTTCATACGAAACAAGCTAATGCAATAGGCCTTATGCACATTGTACAGATGCACGAAATCCCGTATAATCTTGTAGAATCCCGTAGACCCGGTTGGGTGTTGAATGTGCAGGACCCTATTGTGTTTACTGCTATTTCCACTATGAAATGGGCCATGAAGGCATTTCATACGAAATCTTTTTCCGGCAGAGATCTAGCTAGTCGTTAGTTCAATCCCAAAGTGAAGAAGGCTTGAAAAGTGATCGTTTGCCATGAATTGTGAGGCTAAATGGGTCAAACGCGCATGTATTGCACACAATGAACACCCAACCGGGTATGTACACACCTACGGCCATAGTACAGAACTTCGTACATCTGTACAATGTGCATAAGTGCAGTCTCGTCTCGTGAAAATCTCGTTTTTTATTTTTTTAATGAATTTATTTATTTATTGGGAACACAACCCTACAAAGAGACATGTGGAGACAAACACAAGACAAGACACATGGGATGTAGGGACGACGTGCCGATGTACAGGGAACAACTCGACCGACCAGGGGTCTCGGCGTTAGCGTTGCAACCTGGCATCGAAAAAAAAGGGGGGGGGTTGCATGGTCAAGTAGCAAAAATAATAATTTGGTGCGAGAAAGGGGCGCTAGTATTGCACCAAATAATATAAATACGTGTTATGACTAAACCAGAAGGGAAAAAAAGAAGAAAGAGAACAATAATCATAACAAGCAAGTACTAGTAGAGACTAGAGAGGTAAATACTAAATGGGTCTCAATATCATCGTCACAGGTACTGTGTGGACCACAGCCATCTCTTTCGGATTAGATCCTTACATACGTTGACCTTGAAGGTTTGGTGGCGTCTTGAATGAGGCATTGCGCGAAATCACGCGACACCTGTACATTTTCGATCTGCGGGATGAAGATGACGACGTCCATGCATCAGGTATCAGGGGGTAGTAAGATACTGGTATATTACTACTCCACGCCTCAAATCGTGCTGTCAAGCGTATGCGGGGGAGTGTAGCATGCCATCCCTTACACTTTCCAGCTCAGGGTTACCCTCGCTACCGTACCAATGGACGAAATTTCAGGGTCACAGCTTGCGCAACGGCTTTGTCCTGTGCGAATGGCCACTCGACATACTCAGCACAAATTTTCTATTGCATGCATGCACAACATGTTCAACTTTCGTATTTTTGGCGACTTTACCACCGTCGTGGAGGCTGGTTGGTGAGGAGCAGGTAGCCATCCCTTGTGGAATCAAACACATGGTTCCACAGTGTGGCTGATTCCGCAAGAGCCAGGTCCATACGAGGAACATTCGCTTTGTCTTTTGCCATCGAAGTAAGTCACTTTTCTTGTTCTCAGTGTTTTTTACGTTCAACGTTTCTGAGATTTTTGAATTATTCACTTTTCATTCTTTCATACTTTATTTCTTCATGTTCACTGCCTCACTTGCCTTCTGATCTGGAGAATGTGACGGAGGTGACTGTTGGTTACTGCCTGGTATAACGGTTGTCGTGCTGTTGCTGTATTTCCGTCCTGCTCGCGACGTTGTAGATCACAAACAATTTGAAATCACATGAATTGTACTTACCGTCGTGCGTGCGGTATTAGGAAACACTGTGCAGATTAGATCGTCGCAATGTATCTATATGTGTGTCTGGTCATCCTGTGCCACGCAAGAACTCCAACCAGACGCATTCGTCCTCGGCCCTGTTGATCGATTGTCCACTCGTCTTTCCTTGAAGAACGATCGATCAAAAAAAATCGAGCTCGAGGACTTTTTGCAAAAAAACGGCTGAAAAAAGGAAGAAAAAAGGGTGCTCAGAATGAGATTCGAGTAGAGAACCATGGTCCCAGCAGTTTATGTGGATGTCGCTCATAGATGCGCGATTTCGCGCAATGTTCGTGAAGCAGGAGGTCCGCAGGCAGGTTGATCCAGGGTGTGATGGCGAAGAAGGGGAAGGATCGCAGGAGGTAGTCAGGGGCTGTGCGAGGGGGTGTCCACTTCAGCTGGAAGGCATGGTGCATCTGACGTTTTTGCCGTGTGCACATGCTAGCTACGGCAGGGGGCTTGGTTGGTGGCAGCATGGCCTTTACCTGGGGAGGCCCTGGAATGTAGTGCAGCTTGAACAAGTATGACAGGGCTGCCACCATCCGACGAAGCTGAAGACTTTGGAGGATGGCTCCAGGTCCCAGGAAATGCAGGGCACGTTGCTGAACCTTGTCCAGCTGGGCCATGTTAGTTGCGGCTGCGCTCGACCAGACCAGTGGGGCATATTCAAGTAGGGGTCGCACGAATCCCTTGTAGACCGTCACTCGACCATGGTCGTCCAGGATGGGTGCTGCCTTTCGTAGGAAACCCAGCCTTTGTGAGGCGCGCAGTGCAACACTGCGAGTGTGCGCTCTGTAGGAGAGAGTAGGGTCGAGCATGACTCCCAGCAGCTTCAGGGTATCTGTCTCCTGGAGTGCTTCCCCTCCAAAGGTGACCGGTGGAGTGCAGGGGGGAATGTGCTTGCGATGTAGAGTCATGCGCTGTGTCTTGGCTGGCTCAAAACAGATACGCCACCTGCGGCCCCACTCCTCAAGACTGTTGAGGGACCCTTGGAGGGAGGCAGTGGACTGTTGGAGATTGTCAGTTGGCTGTACTAAGCTGTAGAGTGTGGTGTCGTCTGCAAAGCTGCTCAACTGCGTTCCTGGAGTTAAACATTGTTCAATGTCAGAGGTGTATAGAAGGAGGAGGCTGGGTCCTAGGATGCTGCCTTGGGGGACACCAGCCTGGATGGGTTGAGCATCTGACGTCTGGCCTCCAACCACAACGCGGATGTTTCGGTTGGTGAGGTAGTCCTGTAGCCATACAAGCAGGCGTCCGTCGACGCCGGCCTGCTTTGCTTTGTACAGCACTCCTGTGTGCGATACCCGGTCAAACGCACCGGCAATATCCACGGCGAGGACCTGGACACAACCGCCAGTACTTATGGTGTGGACCCATTCATGTTGGAGAGCCGTTAAGATATCTGCGGTTCCTCTACCACGTCGGAATCCAAACTGGCTGTTTGGCAACACCTCATGCTTCTCTAGATAGTTGACCAGTGGCGTGTTTACAATGCCCTCCATGACTTTCGACATGATCGTTAGAAGTGATATTGGTCAGTAGTTAGATGCCAAAGATCTGGAGGACCGCTTGTGAACCGGGACTACATGGGCAAGCTTCCATGCCCCAGGTTGCACACCAGCTAAGAAGCAGAGCTCGTACGATTGGATTTGTTTACTCGAGTCTGGGCTGTTTGATTGTGAGTAGCGCCGAGACTGCACTGCCCCAAATAAAATTGTGTGCCGGCAAAGCAAGAATTACAATCTGCAATCTGTTTGTAGTACCTGCAAGAATGTGCTGTACATAGGGACCGGCGGATTCTGCTCGAAAAGGTGGCAGATTCTGCTCGAAAAGCAGTGAAATTGGCAGAACCATACAAACCTTATGGCGGGCAATTCCTCGAATTCTGCTCCATTTTTTCATCCACATACCCAACATGCATGAAACTTACCAGAAAAAGTACCGAATTCTGCCAATTTTTCTGCCGGCAGAATCCGCCTGACCCTAGCTGTACATGAATCGTACTTCCTCTGTTGCTGTTTTAGTTGCTGTCATGTTGCTAAAGAAAGGTTCAGTGACTCATTTGTTTCATACGAGGCGAGTCAATGAGTCGGTCTGGCTTAGAACCTTTTCGCTGTAGAAGAAATCTATTCGTATCTATTGGAGAAATAATTGCATTCATTGGTTATAAAATAGGGTTAAGATAAACTCACAGAACAAAATACCATCGGTCCCTTGGTGTTCGTCCTAGGCTAAAGAGGTTCGACTGTATATCATTCATACTCACCAAAATATGTATAACACTTTATTAAAAGTAGAAAGGAAAAGGACATATGGAACGAGTTAAGAGTAACTCTCCACCACTGTAACTAGATACAATATGCAGTCAGAAAGTGCAACAACTAGGCACAAAACTGACAGAGTACTGAGACATTCGACGTCCTGACACCTAGCTTCAA